TGTCACTAAAACTTTTATGCGATTTCTGTGAACGTATTATGGCCCTCTATACATATTAAAAGTCATTATATGTAGAAATATACCATAAATGCTTAAATGAACAACAGGGATAGTTCCTGATCATGTGCCTGTAATATCTAAAATGGCTTAAAAATCTTTGTTTTCCTTTCTAGCAAACTTCTGAAGAGAAAGAAGTCTGAAACAGGTCTGCAGGGAGTAACTGGAGAATGGTTTGAAGAAATACAAAGAAAAAAATTTCAGAATTATACTGATGTCAATAGAATGCTAAAACCACCGTTAGAATATCAGCTAAGGAAGAGCAAAAACACCAGTGAGTTGCTTTTTTCCATTTCCTTATCTGTATGATAATGGTCATCGGACCAATATCTTAGAGCATTTCAGAGTGTAGTAGCTAAGGACTTTCTGAAATTGCTTTGAGTTTCTTCTCATGTCAAAGTGTTTTCCGAATATATATTTTCAAAATGATGATGTTTCTTTAAGCAGACTCTGTTAAAAACACAGCTGGAAGTCACAACAGGACATCTCTGATATTTTAATCCCATAGTTAGAACCATAGAACAGCCCAGGTTAGAAGGACATTGGAAGATCATCTGGTCCAACCTTTCATGGGAAGGGGAGCCTGGATGAGATTATCTAACACCCTGTCCAGTCACACCTTCTAAACCTCCAGTGATGAGGATTCCACCACGTCCCCGAGGAGGTTGTTCCAGTGATTGATTGTCCTCACTGTAAAAAATTTCTTTCTTAACCAAGATGAAGTTGCTGTAATTATAGTAAATATAGTGGTGGTTTCCCAATGAAAGCAGTAACATTTACTTTGTGCAAAAACTGTTTCAGTTTTGCCTAGTTTTCTTAAAGAAACTAGAAGCACTTAAGTGACATTTGGAATAAGTAGGTAATCTGGATTTGGGTGAGACAGGTTTGACTGTACCAGTGAAAAACTTTTCCTGGTAACACTGGGCTAAAGGCATGCCAGTGCTGATTATCAGGGCGGGTGACAAAGCCTGGAAAGTTGAGCTGACCAGGAAGAAATTTCTGGAGATCTTATTTCACAAGTTCTGTTGCCCATAAGAAACATGGTGTGTCTATACCAAGCACAGCATTCTGTACTGTCTTTTTTCATTTTCCATTCACATAGTTTTCATGCATAATGTATGCTTTTATTCCATTCACATTTCTGCAGGTTTTTCACTGAGCTCTTCCTATTTGTGTTTCATAGCAACTGGAAGCAGCATGTATTTCAAAAGAAAAGTGAAATGCTAAAAATTTTCCTGAAACTACAGACCTACACAGAATAGATCTCTGTCTTTCCTGACCATTTGTCCCCAACATCCTCTCTAGTCCACAGCTTTCTACTATTTTTCTCTTTCAGAGATGGTCCAATTGATGTGTTAGCTAACTACAGTCTGTGTAATTGTTCTCTGGTATTTAACTTTGAAAGCTGCTGTTTCTATTTCAGATCTGAAGAAGGGGTTGTGTGCCTCAGAGGCTTGTCTGGTATTTCCAACTGTTTCAGTTGGTTTAATAAAAGGTACTAAGAAGGTACAAGAAGCCTTGTCCTGTCTGCATCTCTAGACCATCCTGGCTATAGCACAGTGCTGTTAGGACTCTCCTGATGTCACCTTCATTGTCAAGCAATGCCACCAAGAGGTTAGGCTCTAAAAAGGGGTAATGGATGCAGCATTTCATAACACACGGTGATTGTCACTGAAGTGAAAGCTGTGTATTACACACAGGATTTAAATCACATGACATGAATTATTCACTTCATTTTGGACTAGGTCCAAAATGCTGTCCCTTGCTCTTGTTATCAGTGACACTTTCCTCCCACTTCTGGTTTTGCTTTCTCCTACAGTTATTGGATAAGCCATTTTCAGGCTGTTGGATTGTTTCAGGCATGTGATGTTTTACATGGAAAAAAAAAAAAAAAAAGATACACAATACTTTGTATGTTTTCAGGTTGTGTCTTTGTATTGTCCTATGGAAGTCAGAGGTTCAAAAGA